TCCACGTCAAGGAAAAGGAATTCAATAAGCAGTATCACCTACTATTCTTAGTTCAAGGGCTATCTTCCCTAAGAGTCTATCTGATAGGTGACTAGAGGAAAAGATTAGAACAGAAAGTATATTAACTTATGTGAGAGCAAGAAACTCTCTCAGTGACTAGTAACCAGGTTACCGATCCATGCCCCTCTAAATTAAAAACCCATAAACATTATTTATGCAATATTTTGAAAATGATTTTCAGTGTTTTCTTAAAACACATTCAAAAGGTAAGGTATCAAGACATACAAGACAGTTAAATTATTACTAAGTATAAAAACCTGGAAGTAGGCAGCATTTTCTTTGAGATGAACATCAATGCATTTGGTGATCTGAAGAATCCAACTCCACTGTGTCTGAAGAGTATCCATATAGGCCTGAAACAAAAAAACATCAGCTGTCCCACCACCACTCAGCCGTCAAGAGGCATCCATTCTTCAGTAGATATGTGAGCCTGAATGAAAGCTATGAAACATTTTTTATCTAAGTCCAAATCAGACAAACTTTTAAAAAACTGAAACCAGCATTTCCTAATAGAGAAGTCTTGGTATGGTACAATTAAATCTCAAAACCAGTTTTAACAAGTAGATACCATTAGGTCTATTAGTCAAAATAGTCACCCAAATGGCACAGCTGCTGGCCAATCAGAACAGACTAGGGGATAGTCCTGGAGCAGGGTCTCTGCTGCACCACGCCCTGTTTCTGTACAGCCGCTAGATCATGGGGAGGCCTAAGGCACCCATGTGGAGAGCTTGAGGCGCTTAAGGCAATGACTCTTACCAACTGATATGGATATATTTTTAATTTTTTAACAACCAGTATGACCACACCAGTGCTACCAGTTAATGTCAGCCTTCAGCACAGCCCACAGATGGCAGTCTAGGGCAGAGGTCAGCAAACTACAGCCTCAGGGTAACATCCAGCCCACCACCTGCATTTATAAATAAAGTTTCATTGGAACACAATCATACGTTCATTTATATATTGCTGTGGTTGCTTTCACATTAGAATGGCAAAGTTAAGTAATTTCAAGAGAGACCAAATGGCCTGCAAGTCTAAAATATTTATTACTTGGTCCTTTCCAGAAAAAGCTTGCCAACCCTTGGTCTAGAGTGTTGATCCTAAAATCCAAATAAATTTGTCATTGATTTAGGATGGATACAAATAATTCATTTGTATAGCCTTGCTTAATGGAAAGTTTCCCTAATAAAAATGTAAATCTTATGAAGGCTACCTCAATTTTGTCTGAAGCTGGATGCTGATTGAGGACAAGTTGGTCACTTTCTTGTTTAAGCTTATTGAGCTCTTTTTCCTTAACCTCCAGTTGACTCATGCGTATCTGTGAATGAAAGAGAAATGAATCCTTTAGAGCAAGTCACCATTAGCCTTCCATCACTTCTGCAGTATTTTAAGGAAATTAAACCCACAACTGCAATTTGGAAATGAATAATGCCAAAGAACCATGTTATGGTTTCCTCAAGAATCATAGTACTTTTAAAATCAAAACAGCAATGAGATATCACTTCACACAGCCACTATCCAAAAGACAAGAAATAACGAGTGTTGGTGAGCATGTGGAGAAAAGGGAGCCCTCCTACACTGCTGGTGTGAATGTCAATTGGTGCAGCCACTGTGGAAAGCAGCATGGAGGTTTCTCAAAAAAACAAAACAAAAATAGAACTGCCATACAATGCAGTAATTCCACTTCTAGGAATTTGCCTGAAGAAAACAAAATCCTTGATTCAAAAAGATACATGCATCCCTATGTTTATCACATCATTACTTACAATAGCCAATGTATGGACGCAACCAAAGTGTCCATCAATAGATGAATGGACAAAGCAGAGGCGGCACATATATATACACAATGGAATATTATTCAGCCATAGAAAAGAAATATTGCCATTTGCAACAACATAAACAAGACAGCAGTAGACTCATAGTCACTAAGAAGGGACTGGTAGTTACTATTGGGGAGAGGCTAGGGTGGGTGGGGAGGGTGAGGAGGATATAAGGGCACAAAAATACTCAATCATAAGTTTGTCATGGGGATAGAAGTACAGCATGGAGAATATAGACAATGATTCTATAACATCTTCCTATGTTGACAGGTAGTAACTGCACTAGTCAGGGTGAAGATTTAGTAATATGGGTAACTGTTGAACCACTGTGTTGTACACTTGAAGCCAGTATAAGACTGTATATCAACCACACTTCAATTTTAAAAAAAAGATGCAGCAAGTGAACAGAAAAAAAAATCACAGCGGTTTTAAGACCAGAAAGGATGTCTGAGATGGTCCAGCATGTGGCTGAGGCCATACTGGTGACATGTCTTGTACAAATTCACAGAGTGACAACTAATGCTGAGATTTCCTAATTCTAGGTCTTCATCCACCATACTATTGTGCTACACACACACACTGATATTGGAATGAACTAATTCTTACCCTGCCTGCTGTCTTCTGGGGTGTTAAACAACATATTGCCCCTTCTTAAGCCACGGAAAAGCTTTCAGAAAAGAATGGTTTTCCATGACCATTTCCACCAAGGCTGAGTTATAAGTGGCTGGTTAAATTCTGACAAGGCCGGTCACCGGCACAGGAATCCTCCAAGGCAGCGGCCGCCTGAGGCAAGCATCTACCCCTCCCGGGATGGGCTTACCGAGAAGGCCTCCTGTTTCTGAGCGATGTTGGTGTTCCTGTCGCTCCAGTCATAGAGCAGCTCCTCCTCCTCGCAGTCATTGATCCACATGATCTCGCGGGATGTGGCCTGGATGATGTTCTGCAGCTGTCGCAGGTGATCCATTCTCTCGAAGGACGCTTTCTGCACAGCAAGTTCAGAAGCAGCATTAGGAAACAGTATGCGGATTAACATGCTCTCCGCACACTCATAGATGACCCATGGGGTCCCTTTCACCAAAAAAAAAAAAATCCCAAGAATCAGTAAAATGTTAACCTCTCTCTTGCATTCACTGACCATCTGGGATGTGAAAAAGACCCATCCAAACTTAAAATGAACAAGTAAGCAAGCTTAGATTCAATGAAACAGCCTAATCTACAAGGGTCTTGATTCAGGTATTGATCTTTGGGTTCAATAATTAGTTTTAGAACTATAAAAGGGGAAACGGATTCTTAAAAAGATAAATCAAGTTTTTCTGCCTTCTCCTACCCTCTAAAGATTGAAGGTGTCATCGGTCACACCCCAGACCTAACGGGAAATCTACTGTGTCAGTACTAGCCATGTTATTTAGAGTATCACCGCCAACAAGGAAATACTGAGAGTGAAGCTAGGGTGGCACAAATAGGCAGGAACATGGAAATGTCTCTTCTTCCTACGAGTCAAGTAACTGATTCAAAGTATGTCATACAATGATGATGATGGTCTGGTAAACTCTAAGGAAAACAAATCAAGTCTCGCTTTTGCTTATACTTCATAAAAAGGCTACAATTCACAAGTGGAAAAGCTTTATTGCTTTATAAGCACTCAACAAGTGTGATTTATGTGGTAAGTTTTAAAAGGAAAACCGCCAGGTATGCCTTCCGAAAAAATCTTGAAACACATGCATTTTAGAAGTGTATTTCACTTCTGAAAGAAACACAGCAGTAGGAACGAAACAAGTCCCTAAGTAGACATCCAGGTACATCTGGGGCCACGAGATGTAACACCTAGCAGGTGCCTCTCACCCCAGGTGGTGCTCCCCATTTATGGATCTGAAATGAACTGAACACAGAGGCTTAAGAAATAAGCTGACTTACCAGCAGGTTTTCATATTCCTCCTCCAACTGGTAGATGGCAGATTTCTCACGCTAGAAGACAAACAGCAGGTAATTACTTAATTCCCCTTGTGGGTCTATATAGGAGCAGCCCTTCTAACCTCCTTTATTGGCAGATACTGACTTAGATCCCTTGGTAGATATGAAGCATTTGCTCTATGAAATCTTCTCCCCACAGGGAGCTTCTCCCAGTTCCCTTGAAGGCAAACCCTCACTGGCCTGGCAGTGCTGTCTCCAAAAGTAAAGGGCTGATTGCTGTGACTTAATGACTGATTTGATACTAAAAAAAAAAAAAAGGTTGCAAATACAACTTATGACTCCCTAAATCTTAGAAAAAAAGAGGGAGAAATGTGGTCAGTCAGATACTCATACAGACAAAACTAAGGCAAAAAAACCCCCACAGAAGTGAGGATAAGTATTTCTGGTCTAAGTAAAAACATTATTTAAAAGTGTAGGGAAAGGGGAAGGTTTGGGGGAAGCAAGCACTTAAAATCAAGTGAATATTTTATGCTGTAATTCTCAACCCAGCTTCAAGTCAGTCTTTTCAGCAAAGTGTCAGGATAAGGCATGATTTCCTTTATTAGAAATACATTTTAATTACTACATAGGGAAGGATTCACCAAGGACACAAAGCTATATGATTGTCACATTTTTCTACTTGAAGAGATGCTCTGCTTTCTACAGAAATGAACTAGCCTTCCCCAAAATATATTCATTTGCAAACTGTACCCAAACGTGTGTGTCTGCCCTTAGCCTTTCACCTCCTCCTTGAATGTTAACATTGTCTCTAATAAGTCTGTCTGATTCCACTTCCCCACTTATGACATGGGATTTTTAAAATTTTCCAATCTGTTGGGAAAGAAATCATAGACTAAAGTTTCAGACAAAATGGCCTGGGATCCAGTAATTACACAATCCTTCAGTATGCTTTCTGAAGACTTTAAAACACAACATGTCAAGTACCAGGTCGGCTTTAATTTTGTCCAGCTGCCAGCGATAGTCCCCGATGGCATTGTGGATGACTCTATGGCTGTTGATGTGCTGTTCCACTGAGGCCAGGTCCACACCCCAGGCCACCAGGTCCATCTCCGCCTACCAAGGGAAAGAGAGAGCATGCCCTTCATTTCCCATCCTTTGCATCTGACTCACCTTACTACAGCATCAGGGCTCAGAGGACCAATGGATACACATGGCTTTCATTCACATAAAACCAAAGATGTAAACAATTGGCATTTTTGAAGCCGAAAAAAGTTATAGAAAGGCTTGCGATTCCCAAATAGCTAATGGGGGTTGCCAAATAACTTACATCAAATTGTTTGGACCCAGTTCAAGATGGGCTAAGGAGAGATGATTCAAAGATGAGGTCCTTGAAAGCTAGATCATGACCTCTGAAGAAAAAAATCTACCCGTGCACATGCAAGTGGCATGTGTATGTATATAGTATATGTGCATCTTGACATCTGAGATGTTATAAAATATTGACAGAAGTTTCTATATTCAGTCATTTTTAAATGTGCATCAAAAAATAGTCCATTAAGTTCAATCAGGTACTACTTCCCAGTCTATACAGCTGACCTAAAAGTACTTTTCATTGTTTATTTCTT